AGTTGCTTCAGCCTTATCTGAATTTCTTTCCGCGGGAGCATCCTCGGGATTTTTAAAATGGTGATCAATTCACCTTAAAATGAAACTGCGTATGGTTGTCGTCAACTCAGTTTGAGCACATTAAAATGCTTTTCATACTGAATAATCTTTGTGGAGGATATTTACTTTTGCTATGTGGCATTTGAACTTGCTATTGCGTTACATTTGGATTTGCTATTTGTACATTTGAATTTGTTACACACAACTGTGTACTAAAATTTCCTATTGTACATTTGAGCTTTCCATGTGTCGTGAAACTTGCTATATGGCATTTGTATTTCTTATGTGTACATTTGATCTGAAAAAAAAAACACTTTTAACATCACAGTGATCTGAAAGACACGTATATAACCCTCCCCCCACTTAAAAAAAAGAATCCTAGAAGACAAAACACTCCCTCCCAAATATCTATCCATCTATCTATCTATCTATCTATCTATCCATCTATCTATCTATCTATCTATCTATCTATCTATCTATCTATCTATCTATCTATCTATCTATCTATCTATCTATCTATCTATCTATCTATCTATCTATCTATCTATCTATCTATCTATCTATCTACACACACACACACACACACACACACACACACACACACACACACATATATATATATATATATATATATATATATATATATATATATATATATATATATATATGTATATACATGTATATATATAATATATACCTACATGCACACACAATATAATACGTATAAAATATATATACATATAATATATAAAAAAAATCTCCCCCAACGCCTGCCACACTCATTGCTAGAACTGAAGTACACCTGATTGTCCTTCCCAACCTTGGCAGTGAGACCAGTAAGGGGTAGTAATCAATACATGAAAACATAGCCCCGTCCTGCGAGGGGCTCTCGCTGTAATAGAGGCACATTCTCTACACGACAAAGAGTCGTGATGACCAGACCAGTTAACTCCCCTGTACCGATCGATAATAATGCACAATGTTTTGGTCTGTAAGCTCGCACGTAGCAATATTCCGTTTTATGGTTCAGATGTTTCTGTACCCTGGTTGAATCGCGGCATGCTAACGTTAAAGACAGCACACTACTTCATAGCAGGATATTTTTATGACAATGGCAACTACACGTTCATCTGAGACCAAGGCAGCGTGACCGTATTAGAACATAGACGGGATAATTTACAGGCATGGATTGTTTCGTGCATTAGTTTTTAAAAAATGACAGAAGAAAAAGACACATTGGTTAAAGGGGGAAAGAGCAAGTTAGAAAACAAAAGAAGCCCATAATAGATAGGCCTAAATACATAATGAATAAACTAATTATTATAAGATAAATAGATAAGTAGATAAATAAATAGATAAGTACTATTACTAGAACCAGAAACGGACACATGCTGTGTTTTTAGCAATATTGACAAGAACTGCTGCAGAAATAGTTACCAAAGTTTTCATTGTCAAAGATTTTTTTCCTCCCGCTTCCCACAATATTTCTTTTCTGGCAATTAAAATGTCTTCCTTTTGGAGATAATAAAATAAACCCCATGAGATACACAATGCGATCTGTTCTTTGTCTAGACGGACGTTTTTATTTCAATTGATTAATTAGTATTGTTCAGTGGCACTATCGACACTGTTCTTGTCATGTAAGAGCCCGTGTTTGACTCCAGATAGACTCCACCCACGTACACACAGACAAGGGAAAAAAAGCCGATAACATCGACAGTGGAACAACGAAGAAACCCCATCAGCGTTTTCTTATCAACAGCAAAGAGTTTTCTAACTCCTAGATAAGCCAACATGACTAGATTTTATTCACTGCCTATTCCTCCACTTCTTCCCCACTAACAAACCCCAGAAACAATCACTGAACAGATGGACAGAAAAATCAATAATTTGTGAAAGAAAATGATTAGCCTGCTTCAGCCCATACCACGATAACCTCTGATAAAGTAATTGTGATTTACTGTAATAATAAAACTTGGAGACTGTGAAAAAGGCTTAATGTTATATCAACATGCATCATTACACAGTCTGAGAATTGCTCTCTCAGCCATTTTGATTGCATTACACTATAGACATCATTGTTTCTTCCCTCCCTTCCACTACCCTCAATCTCCACCTCTCTCACCTCTCTCTCCCTCTACTCTCTCCCTCCCTCCCCCCTCTCTCCCGCTATTCTATCCCCCCCCCT